CAAATATGAGAGACTTGAAATACAGGTGCAGTCATAAGCTGTGAAGACATGAAGTAGTGGTGAGAAGATTTGGACCCGACTCAAGACGCCTGGATGTCTGATCCCCACCTGTTCTCAAGCGCTGTGTTGTAAAAGCAGAGAAAACAGTCTTCAATAGCTATGCTATTATAGCTCTGTATGTGTAGAGTGTGTGCAGTGTATGTGTAGTACACATACAGACAGTCAGAGACAGTCAGGTGTTCGTCAGACTTACTGGCGTTTCACGTCTTTAACGAGTTTTGTCGGACGCGACGGCATTCATGCCATTCATGCTATGCCTGAGCCTAAGCCCACACCCATTGGCTGGCAGGCAGTGGTGGGCGGAGTGACAGCCCATCGACCCATATATAAAGCAAAGCCAATGCGCAGTGAATGGCATTCATTGATATGCTTTGCATTGAGTCTGCGATACAAATGGTGTGCAGAGACTGAGAGACTGTGTGTGAAGTGAGTGTCAAACAAATCAATACTTAATTCTTTGGCCACAAAAGCGGATATCAAACACAAGTCTATACTTAATATACATTGGACTCAATTCTGTGACAAAATGACCAAAATATGTAAAGAGATGTCCTCTCAGGAGGCGAACGGTTCCGCGGGAGGCGTCGACAACAGCAACGGTCTGCCGATCGCCAAGAGTTTGGCCACCAATCGAGTGAAGAAGTCGTCGGCGAGTCATCACAAGATGGAGACGACGGTCTCGTCGGACGAAATGCAATCACTTTTAGCGAAATTGAAAGAATTGGTTCCCAATATTCCTCGCAATAAGAAGTTATCGAAACTGGAAATCATTCAATACGTGATCGACTATATCTTTGACCTCCAACTGGCGCTCGACACGCATCCAACACATCCACAACCACTCTGTCAGTCGGCCAACAACTCGACCGCCAGCTCTTCCAACTCTCTAACCAGTCTTCGGCAACCATTGGCTATAAAGTGGTCGTCATAGAGGAGACAATGGCTGAAGAGTGTGTCTGTGTTGTTGTTGTGGTGACCATTGGTGTGACAATTGGTGCAAATGAGTGGTCAGATTGCGATGCATTTGGAGGACGTGTTTGGATGGACTCAGACCTCATCCCAAACCCCAATACCCATAGGCTATGAGTCATAGCTGTTGTCATATTTTGATTAGTTTTCATTAGATTATCGATCCATACATTCAAATGCATTCAATCTCTTCATTGCTTTGATTCGAGTCTTCATTCATTGTATTTATATTTTAAATGTATTTTATTTGTAATACTATTTAAATACAGAAAATATTATTTTAAATGTTTAGATATTAATTACTTGTATTTATAATTATAATTATCAAATGTTTTTGTTTAATAACAGAGAAAATACTTATTTCAAAATCAAACCAAATGTCTATTAATTATTTGAAAAATCAAGGAATTGTCAAAAATGTTTTTCCCTTCAAATCAGTGGTCGGTAAGAAGAGAGACCACTGGCTCATCATAAAGCTCTCCAACACCTCTCTCTTCTCTAACCCTACTGTCGGCTCATCTCTATCTCTCTCTTCATTACTAATCATCGGTTCTCTCCAATCATTCTCTCCCATAGGCTCTCCAGTCTCTCTCAGTTCGTTCCAATCAATCGGCTCTCTATTGAACTCTTCTTCAGTCAAATCATTTATTTCGGTCTCAAATTCTTGAAAGTCTTCATTGCATGAGAAGATATCCTCTAATTGTTTCTCGAATTCAAAATCTTTGTCCACTAATTCCTCCTTCGGCTGCAATTGAGTGTTGACATCGAAATCGAAATCCAAATCATCGAAACCGTCATTAAATATGGAGTTAAGGTCTTCGCCGTCAGATTCAATGTCTGCATATTTCTCATCTTTGAAATAAACGCTTTGTGTTTTGGCATTTGTTTTATCATTAATTTCATTAGTTTGCGATTTTTGGTCACAATTTTTCTTCGAAAATGTTTTGAGCCATTCGTCTAAATTAGAGTTAGGTTTGGATTGTTTAGCCTTTTTAGCAGTGCTTTCAGTCGACTTCTCGCCTAATTGTTGTTGTCTTTTATTTTTTGTGACCTATTTTTCAAGAAATGGTTGTTTTTAAATAATTAGAGGGAAATGAGCTCTTTTTAAAGTAAACCAAAAAACTATAAAATCAATGAATACCTGTTTTTGAGTGTTCTCTGACTTCAAGCCTTTTTTGCAACAGATGTGACCGCAAGTAGTTTTATTGAGGCATTTGTGTTGACAACAGCTCTCACTCTCACTGCTGTCCGTCGATTCCCACGATGTGTCTGAGAAAGCAGTCGAACGGTTGGCCCGAATTGGATCAGCTGTCGTACGGATGACACCTGCATTGACTGCATCTCCAGCCCCACAGCTCCCAAACATGGGCTTCAGTCTGCACTCCACGTCCAGACCCACGAATGAATCGCTAATCAGATGAGCGCTTATGTATTCGCTCTTCTCATTGCGACTAATTGTGATACCTTTGGTCTCAAAGACACCATTATTTTTAATTAAATACGAATCAAACAATTTGTTGCAATAAAACAGTTGGTTGTCTTCATTGCAAACAATTAGAAAACAGCAGTGATTTTGAAACAAAATTATTCTCTCTTTTAAATTCTCAATGTTTTCCAATTTTGCCACTAATTTAAGCACTGCTTCATTACTATTGAGGCCTTTATTCATATTCTGTTCGATTGTTAGCGAATAATACGGCAAATGTTTGACCTAAACGTGCAATTATGCGGTCGATTGTCATTCAATGGCTAATAATTATAGAAAAATCAGATAACAATACCTCGTCTATGAGTTGTCGACCAAATGGTGGGTTTCTTTTTAAGCAAAACTCCACATCTCTTGGATCAGCATTTTTGATGAGATTGAAACTGACGAGTCCTCTCTCCACCAAAGCCTTTGAATATTTCTGTCCGATTCGGTTCAACTGAATGGCCACTTGATTGGAATCGTACCATATCTTTGCTTTGAAACACTTGTTAAGCAGTATTGCATTCAACAAACTCTTGGAATTAATCGCATTTGGATTCTCTTTGACTTTAAAGTAAATCACTTCACAAATGCATTTACTCAGTCTCTGACCGGTTCTCATCAGTTTCAGACTGTCCTGAATAAGAGTCGAGTCCTGTATCGACAACAACCCAAACGACGCCTGAATTAAACAATTGATTTTCATTTCCGCGCTCTTTATTTTGCCATTAATTGGGAATCTAATGGATTGAGCGGCGCTTTTATTCAATTCATTCAATATAGTCTTTTCATTGACTCTCAATTGAATCTCTTGTCTAATTTCATAGCATTGGGTCATCTCTTCGATCAGTTCTTTGAGTGACACTTCTTTGGTGGTTATTTCGCAGAACTTCTTCATTGTCTGCAATGAAATCGAATGCCTGGCCATTAGTCGGCCCATTGGTGTGGACGAGATTTGACTGAATTCTGGATCAGTTGAGATCATGTCTGCCTCTTTGAGGCCAACGAGTTCTGTGTGACACCAGCTCTGAACCATTTGAAGGCATTGTTCAATGTTTGACATCTGAACAGTACTGCCATAATATTGAGGGTTTTGCATGACTCGGATGTACAGAAACGTCGACCGAATCCAATTGACCGCAATGTCGATTGAGGTGACGGTTCGGAGCGCTATCTCTGCGTTCAGGTGTTCCACTAAATTCTTGTGTAAATTGCTTTCAATGATTTGCGTTCCGTTCAAAAGTCTCTCATATTTGGCTTTAGTCTCGTCTTTGGTCATAATGATAGCGAACGCATTCGTGTCAAACTGTGGTCTTCCCGCCCGTCCTATCATTTGCAAGATTTGTGTTTCGGGGTATTCGTGGCACCCGTTCTGAGTGTATTGACTCGTACTCTTAATGATGACCAGATGTGCCGGAAGATTGACACCCATTGCCAGTGTTGTGGTCGATATGAGGACCGGAATAAGGCCTTCGAGAAACAAGGCTTCAACGATCGCCCGATCGCTTTTGTCGAGACCCGAGTGATGATAACCGACACCTTTTGCTATGTATCCCTTCAGATCCGCCGCTTTCAATGGGTTCAGTCTTTTGGTTACATTAATTCGCTGTTCGTTTGAATTAAATAAATTGAGTGACGTTTTGGTAAGCGTTTGAGCCGTCATTAGCACTCCTTTACGCGTCGAACAGAATATTAGAGTCGGTTTGGATTCGGAATAACTTCTTATAAGTGAATCCAACTTATAATTCAATTGAATGTCGAATCGAAAGTCATTCCAACTCTTCTGACACGAATAGCCCATCACTATCTTCTGGAGTCTCACCGGACGTAAAGTCTCCGACAGGTTATAGCCGACGGCATTCATCGGATCCAACCATTGGGAGATGTCGTCCACATTGGGAGCGGTGGCCGACGCGGCGATGAATCTGAGCGGCGGTCCGGAACCGTTCTGCAGCTGAACCAAACGCAATGTCTTCATACGACTGAGAACCGCTTCAATGGTGGCGCCTCTGGACTCGTCGTTAATGGTGTGGATCTCATCGATAAGCATGAGTTGAATGCCGCGAATCAACGCGTTTTGTTCGTTATTCCTCAGCATATAATCCCATTTCTCTGGTGTCGTCACCACTATATTCACGTCGCGAAGCCGTTCGTAGTCTTTCATTTCGCTGTCGCCCGTCATTTGGACACAGTTTATGCCGAAGCGTTCAAAGGATCGCTTCAATTCACTGTACTTCTCGTCCACCAGTTTCTTGAGTGGAGCCATATATACGGCCTTCAGTCCACTCATCGTACAGCCATTCGCCTCCAAATCCATCAACTCTTTAATGACTGCCATTTCAAAGACCACTGTCTTTCCAGAACCGGTCGGCGCGGAGATCGCTGTCCACACAATCCACACAATCAATGCAATTACAGTCACAGACAATGAGATCATGTTTTTGGCGGTCACTTACCGATGGATTTATTGGTTTTCATGACGTCGTCGAAGACTTTCGATTGAATCACATTAAAGACGGGAAACCTGTCGGCGAAGACCTGACGATATTTGGCCGGCAATTGAGACACACTTCGCAATAGTGTTCCGTCCGTTGAGTACTGCTCTCCGCCTCTCGAGTCCATCACTTCTTCGTCGGACTGTCTTTGGCTTACATTTGAAAAACTGCTTCCACTGTAACTCCGGAAGAATGGTTGAGATGTGTTGGGATTCATGTCTGCATCGGATTCTGTGTCACAAAACAAACAAAACGCAAGAATTAGAGACAAAACACGCCATTAAGTGATAATTATGTCCGCATTTGAGACACAAATCTAACCCCAAATCAACTGTCGCTTCAAATTCGGCACAAAATGTCACTTAAATTGTCTTATATTTTGTGTTATATTCACTGAATATCCAGTTTTGTGTCAATTCTTGTCATCAAATGTCTGCAAAAAAGTAGTAAAACTTATGACGCGTTAAATAAGTGTTATATTAATGGCATTTAGTATACAATTAGTGTTCAATTGAATGGTATTTGCGATCAAATCAATGGCCAAAACATCGAACCATTCATTCGATCATTAGTTTTGTATTTAGCGGTCGTTTGAATCGAATATTGCGTTCAATTCAATAGCCATTCAATGCGTGACATCTATTGACTCCAATAGTGTTTGCAATCGATTGCAACGCAAACTTCACTATTAGTTTGTGTATAGAATTGAATATTAATAGCGATTTAATCGACGCTTTCATTGCATTTCATTGATTCACTATTTCTTACATTAGATTTCAATTCTGTTTCAATTGTTTTTTGTTTTATTTTTAAGATAAAAAGTGATTCAAAAGTTCAAACATTTCATTAGCGTTGCGTTTATTACGTATTACTTATAAACATATATAGCGTTACGCTTTGGCCGCAAAACCAGACCCTATAATACGTATTGATGACGAGTTTTAGGCGCCAAAAGCACTAACGCGTCACTCGTGTCGACCCCTCACTCAGCGTAACGTCGTTTGCGTTTCGCTATAATTATATGCTTTGGTAACGAATGCCTTGTATTTCATCAGTTGTCGGCTTTATTAAGGGTTCACTCATTGAGTCACACATTGAATACACGTTTGCATTGCAGTCAACGAGACATCCATTCAATCGTTTCAAACAATATTTAATCGTTTTTCTTGTGTTGTGTTTCATATACTTTGACGCAAACTATGGTTAACACCGAACCGAAGCCAAGCGGTGACCAATCGGTGGCCGCGAAGCCCACGACCGACGAGAACGGGTCTGAAGTGCGGGAGAAGAGTGAGAAGGAGCTGAAGAAAGAGGCGCTCAAAAGGGCTAAACTCGAGAAGTTTAACGAAAAGCAACAGAAATTGAAGCAATTGAGTGATAATAAGCCTAAGAGTGACGCAAATGAGGCCAAACAGAAGGACAAGAAGGAGACGAAGACGAAGGCAGTGATCACTTACGACCGACCCATCAAAGCCGGCGACAAGAAGGACGTGACGTCGGATCCGATGCCCGACTCTTATTCACCCAAATATGTTGAGAAAGTTTGGTACGAGTGGTGGGAAAAGGAGGGCTTCTTTCGACCCGAATGGGGCCGCGATCTGAGTGTCCCGAACCCGAAGGGACAGTTTGTTATGGTTATACCGCCGCCTAATGTGACCGGAGTTCTGCATTTGGGACACGCGGTGACCAATGCTATCCAAGACTCGTTGACCCGTTGGCACCGGATGTGCGGCCGAACCACTCTATGGAACCCGGGCTGCGATCACGCGGGCATTTCCACACAGATTGTGGTCGAGAAGCAACTGTGGCGCCAGAATAAGACCACTCGTCACGACTTGGGTCGCGAACGCTTTGTCGAAGAGGTCTGGAAGTGGAAGAATGAAAAGGGAGACAAAATTTACGACCAGTTGAGGAGTTTGGGCACTAGTGTTGACTGGAGTCGCGCCACGTTTACGATGGATCCCAAGATGTGTCGAGCGGTGACCGAAGCGTTTGTCACTCTTCACGAACAGGGATTGATATACCGTTCAAATCGTTTGGTCAACTGGTCGTGTACTCTGCGTTCGGCCATTTCGGACATCGAAGTGGACAAAATCGAGTTAACCGGTCGTACATTGATGTCTGTTCCCGGCTATGACCAGAAGGTCGAGTTTGGAGTATTGATTAAGTTTGCCTATAAAGTGGACGGAAGTGATGAAGAGATAGTTGTGGCCACCACTCGGATCGAGACAATGTTGGGCGACAGCGCAGTGGCCGTCCATCCAACCGACGCTCGCTATACGCATCTTCACGGCAAACAAGTGGTTCATCCACTGCTCGGCCGTAAGATTCCCATTGTTTGCGACGATTTTGTTGACATGTCTTTCGGAACGGGAGCCGTGAAGATCACTCCCGCTCACGACCCCAACGACTACGAGGTCGGCAAACGGCATAACTTGCCATTTATTAACATCATAACAGAATCGGGTTTGATTGACGACAATTGCGGTGAATTTAGTGGACAAAAACGGTTTGACGCGCGAAAGTCTGTGTTGGAAGCGCTTAAAGCGAAAGGTTTATATCGAGATAGTGTTGAGAACCCGATGGTTCTTCCCATATGCAATCGATCCAGAGATGTCATCGAACCACTCGTCAAATATCAATGGTATGTCGACTGCAAAGATATGGCCAAACGAGCGGTTGATGCGGTCAGGAATGGAGAGCTGAGATTCATTCCCGATCTTCACGAGAAGATTTGGTACCATTGGTTGGAGAATATCAGAGACTGGTGTATATCACGCCAGAGTTGGTGGGGACACAGGATTCCCATCTATTTTGCTAAAGTGAAGGGACAGGCGTTTGATGAGACAAAAGCCGAAGAGCACTGGATTAGTGGCCGCACCGAAGAGGAAGCGCGACAGAAAGCGGCCAAAAAGTTTAACGCATCGCCTAAAGACATCGATCTGAGCCAAGACGAGGACGTGTTGGACACGTGGTTCTCTTCGGGTCTGTTTCCGATGGCTATATTCGGATGGCCGGAGAAGACGGCAGACTTTGAGCGCTTCTATCCGGGAAGTCTGTTAGAGACGGGTCACGACATCATATTTCATTGGGTCGCGCGAATGGTTATGTTTGGGTTACAACTGTGCGGTCGGCTCCCATTCAAAGACGTGTATTTCCATTCACTTATACGCGACGCTCACGGGAGGAAAATGAGCAAATCGTTGGGTAATGTTATCGACCCGTTGAGTGTCATTCAAGGCTTGTCACTCGAAGCCCTCCACCAGACTCTGTATAACTCGAACTTAGATCCGGTGGAAATAGATCGCGCAAAAGCCGGTCAAAAGGCTGACTATCCGAACGGCATTCCCGAGTGCGGGACAGACGCCTTGCGTTTTGCGCTCTGCGCTTACATCACTCCCGGAAGGGATATTAATTTAGACATCAAACGTATTGAGGGCTATAGGTTTTTCTGCAATAAGCTCTGGAATGCCGTTAAGTTTACTCTAATGACTTTGGGTCCAGACTTTGTTCCCAATCCTAACAACCGTTTGACAGGAAATGAGGCTAAAATAGATCTTTGGATTTTAAACTGTTTACATACGGCGACCGATGCCTCCAATAAAGGCTTCGAGACGTATGACTTCCCGATGTCGACGAACGCGTGCTATAGCTTCTGGTTATACCAATTGTGTGATATATATCTCGAAGCACTCAAACCCATCATTCAATCCAACGATTCCGTTGCTATCAATGCTTCCAAACAGACTCTGTACACGTGTGTTGACACTGGGCTCAGGCTTTTGCACCCATTTATGCCTTTTATTACCGAAGAACTATTCCAAAGACTTGCGCGCAGGACTGGTAACGAACCGCCGAGTATTTGTGTGACGCCTTACCCACAAGTGGATCAGTTTGAATGGAAACGAGACGAACAACTCGAGAATGACGTCTCATTGATGCAAAACATCATACATAGCGTCAGATCTTTGAGATCGGAATACAATTTGGCCAAAACTAAAGTCAATCTTTACATTAAATTTGATGCAATCGGTACTAAAGACCGAATTCAGCCTTTTATCGAAACAATTAAGGTATGAATTATTGAATGTTTGAACGTTTAAAGAGTTGCTATAATTATAATTTTGTGAATAGGTTTTAACCACTTCTCTATCGGTTGATATTGTAAGCGACAGCACACCAGTTCCCGAGGGCTGTGCTATAGTTCCCGTCTCCGATACCTGTGAAGCATATCTTATGCTAAAGGGTTTTATTGATGTTAACAAAGAGATGGAAAGACTAAAATCAAAGCGCGAGAAAATCAATGGTCCGCTGATTAAACTGAAGGCCAGCACCGAAACGACCGACTATACAGACAAAGTGCCGATCGAAGTGCGAACGGCGAACACCGAAAAACTACGACAATTAGAACTCGAATTAAACAAAGTGTTGGAAGCGATTCAAGCGATTTCGCTAATCAAAGATTAACAATAATTTTTTATAACACTATTTTATCACTATTTGTATATTGAATTCTAACGAATAATAAAGCTATTGTTTTGTTGACCAATACGTTCCGTTCGGGAATTCATAGTATTTGATGGACTCTTCTTTCAGCTCACAGCCATATCCCGCGTGTTTGGGCGCCAAATATCGGCCGCTCTTAGCGGACGCCGGGTATGTGAAGTGTTCACTCAAATGGTGTATATATTCTGTCATTCTGTTGTCCATTGAACCGCTCACAGAGACGAAGTCCCACATCGATAGGTGCTGTACGTATTCGCACAGCCCTACGCCACCCGCGTGCGGACAAACCGGTACTAATCATATATTTAAGTGTTGTTTAGTTTTGCTTCAACTTCTTATATATAGTATTTAAAGAGTAGTTTCTGTATAAAAAACCTCCGAATTTATGAGCCATTAATATAATGGAAAGAATTTCATTCACTCCTCCCAAACGACACGAATCTATTTGCAAGAATTGGAGTCCATTTGCCTGAAGGAATTGCTTGAATAGCACTCTGTTCTGGCACTGCTCTCCAGTGGCCACTCCTATGCCGTAAGGCTTAAGTGCCTTAATAACAAATTAAAAAGTTTTGTTATATTGTGCTAAGTTTGTAAAGACTTGTCGCTGATGTGAGCCTAACCTTGGAAATGGTCGCGTGTCCTAACACGTCGTCGGGAGACGTGGGCTCTTCGATCCATAAGATCTTGAAGTCAGTCAACTGTTTCATCCATTCAATGGCTTCGTTGACGTCCCACTTCTGGTTCGCGTCAACCATTAAGAGATTCTCATAACCGATCTCTTCTCGAATTATAGCCAATCTATGGATTATATCGACATTATTTCAATGTAAGCATCGCTTCACATATAACCAAATATCACACCTCTTCTTGTCCTCCTCTATACTTGTGCCCACTTTGGCCTTAATGCAAATATTATATTAAGATATTATCATGTTAAACACACATTATAAAAATAGTACAATATTCTGTTGTACTGCATAAAGAATCTAATTTGATCATATAATCCATTAATCACAAAATGCTAAAACTTTATAATAGCAGCAACTTTATTAGCTATAGTTTTAGTTCCTAAAACTCTCTCAGAACACTTTCTCAAAACACAAAAACAAACGATGTGATTGGCTACTGTATCAGTTCACACTGTTTGATTGACTTTAACATTGGCGCATAATATGAATAAAAAAAGTTTTAGGATCTATAGCTATAGTTATAAACTTGTATTTAAAACTAATATAAAATATAATTTCAAAGCAGATATTATGAGTGAATATAATTATGGAGTAATGAAATAATGACTGTGATATAATTTGGGTCAAGTTTACAGACAATGCAACTATAAGTAAACACTTGTTTCTCGTATTCCAGCGTAGGATTAATTAATTGCAATAAATTAATACAAATAAATTACTGTATAAATAAGGAAATAACACCGTATCTACACTATGCCACTGTTCTCTTTATAAATTAATTGCCGCACACCTGACAGGTGTGCAACTCTGAGCTCAAAAAGTCATATATTAAGACAAAACAGTAATAAAGTATAAATTATCACTTGTTTTAATTCGCTTTAAGTATTATTATCATGGATTGTACAGAATTAAAGCATACCTTAAATCTAGTGTAACCTTCTGCCAAATATTGTCGACACAATTCTCTCCTCTTCTGCTCATCATATCCAACCCAACCGACCCTATAATCCACAATATTTTTATAGAAAAGCAATACTTTTCAAACATTGATTTCAATATTCACGCCGTAGTGTAAGCGGGAAATCCTTCTTTCAATAATTTTGCTTCTGTTGTGTCAGGTTTTTGAGATTAATTTCAATACAATTTACACATTCACAGCACATGTATTACCTCTTTCTTTATTGAATGGTCTGTTCTTTTTCAAGATCTCGATGGCTTCCTCTTTGGTCAACACATCGGTTCTTATAAATGCAAACAAATTAGTAAATGAATGCTTAGACGCGGTGTATGTTTAGTGCATACATGTATCGAAAGTCTATACAAGAGACCAATTTTTCTGGTTCTAAGTCAACGAGAAGTTTCCAAAGGGGTTTGCCTTCAATCTTACACCACAGATCCCACAGAGCGTTGATGACGGCTCCGGTGGCCATATGAATGGCACCCTTTTCCGGGCCAATCCAACGGCGCTGACTGTCACAGGCCAGCGATGTCCAGAAGGGACCGAAATTGTTGTAAATATTTGCTAACTTTTTACCCTCAACTAAAGGCTTGAGACACTCGACCGCTTTAACCACTATATCGTCAAACAATCGCAAAACACGCATTTTATTCATATATTTTAATCGTTTTCATTATAACGGTTATAATAAGCTTTACTTATTATGAATTTATTTCTTCATTAAGTAGTTAAATGAAACCTATTTGAAGGGACAATACATACCAACTTCAGTCCCTTTTCCGATAGTAAATGTCAAACCGTGTCCTTCGAACCCATTTGTCTCGGTTTTTAAGATAACATAAGCGCACGAATAGTCGGGATCCGTGTGCTATTCAGACATACTTTTTAAATCTTACAACTATTAAAATACAATTTTTCAATACCATAGCATCAGATCCATCACCACTCAAAGAAGTGGGAAATCGGACGTCTTTAGTGATGAGTGAAACAATTGACAAATCCATTGGCAATAATATAATTTCAATTTTTATTAAAATTTCATAAAATATATAAAATATTTTCAATTGACTATTAATTACACACAATGTATGAAAACTAGTCAAAACTGAAATAATGACTAAATACTCAAGAATATCTCAAATATAACATAAATTAATTATAAATAAGTATATGTTTTAAAATAAACTTAACATAAATCAAACATTTGTTAGTTTATGATTAGATTAGATGAACACATGTTATTAGTAATTATCGATACATCTTTAATACACAACTATTAAATGTATTCATGAATCTCTCCCAAACATTAAGCAGTTCTTTGTTTCTGTGAAAAATAATTTTAAATTAACTTTTTATTGCTTTAAAATCAATTAAAAAGTTTGGATAAGATTATGGTAGAAAAACATACGTTTTGAAGGGCTCCATGAATTGCGGTCCCTCTTTGTATTGTGTCATCAATAAAGTCATATCAGAAACCGATAGTTTGGCGTTCTTTGAGGGCTCTATGATCTTCTCCACGATATCTAAAAACAAGTCTCGCATTTCTTTGCTGTGATTCAGACCATAGGCTATATTAATCACATTTCGAGACAAACTCTGATTTTTAAAATAAACATTAAAATCATATTAAAATTCTGTAATTCATTGAATAAATAATTGAATGAATAAAATTAGAAATCACTTTAAACATGGAGTCAATGTCTGCGAGTTTGCGATCCGACACTTTAGCCTTCAATATCCGCATTACAAGAGTTTTGTGTTCATCGATAGCTTCGCGCTCTAAGAGAACCCGAAATTCTCGCAAATTCTGTAGAAATTCTCTATCGATATCCATTGCCGTCTCTTCGTATTTGCACTCCGGGTCACTGCACGACCAGTTGGCCATCATTTCGGTCGAACAGTGAAGAAAGTCCGAGAACTGCAAGTATTGGAGTTTGCGTTTATTGGTCTCAAAGCGATTGTTGGCGATGTAGACGACGGCCGCGTATTTTTGGGCCAAATTCTTGGGCAACAAAAAGTTGGTTTGAATGTTAAGCGAAAGGTTTCCGGACATGTCCTCCACAGTCTTGTAGACCCGCTTCACGTTATCGAACTGTCGGCGACAGCTCTTAATGCCGACCGCAGTCTTGTCGCTGACGTCATCCAAGTCTTTGCGGTTACGACCCGAGAGTTTTTTGCCGAGAATCTCGCGGATCACAGAATCCTCGAAATCGTAATACTTCTCAACGAGTATGCGTTGAGTGGTTGGCGTCAACTGATGTGTCCACTGCTCGGACAGCTGTGTCGGCGCCGGAAGTAGTTTCTCGATCAACAGGAATGTGCGGTATTGGTCCAGAATATCACTGATCACCAGATCTTCGTGTACTAAACCCAATACTGTCTTCTCTTTGTTGCGGACCAAACGGGACGCCTCTTGAGCTGCAAAATGGCAATCATTCATATCATTGGATTCGCTAATCACTGGCAATAACTATAGTCTTAAGACTTAATTAAGTGATAAATCTTTAGACATCTTAAGAGAAGCTTAACCAGAAGCTGATCCACGACTCAACCCAACGCCCATTTTGAGTGCCCAAAACAAACCTGTGTTTCCTTCCAACCAATACTGATATATCTGCGGATCAATTAGGGTATTGTTGCCGATAAACACATCCACTTCTGTGAACATCATTTTCAATACTTTTTCAATGATTGGCTAAACTTTGAATACAAATCAAAGCAAAGCAATAATACTGTACTCAACAATAAAACCGTACAAACAATACAAATGCCATTACTATTAACAGTGGGTTTGGATGTGAACTGTGGCCACAGTTGGCACAAAAGTCTGCAAAACTATCGATAAAATGTGTTTTCAAACAAATTAACATTAATTACAGACAATTAAATACACATTTCATTTGGAAAACAATTAAATTATAATGAAAACAATCTTTTGATAACTTATTAATGAAAGCAAAGTTTCATTGTCTGTATGTTTGAGCGGTCTATGAGTTATAAACCGTAACACTATTTGTGAATCATATGTGAGATTCAAAACAACGAGCGTTTCATTAAATCGTTGAGTGAAAGCAAATTGCGATTCATTTCAATGATTGTATGCTTTGATTGACATTTCAAGTGTCACTCAATTGATCCCATTTTAGCCATCCATACATTGCCATCGATTGGCGGCCAACGAGTCGTCAGTGAATGCCGTTTAGAGTATTACGAGTTGTCGACAATTGAAAGACTTTGTTATCCCTTCAATGTATGCCTCGCGAGGAATCGGTCGACAGGCGTCGGGACAACAGGACAGCGACCGGAACCGCAGTCCGTATAACAATTCGCCCGATTGTAACTTCAGAGCCGATGACGCGGACAACACTCGCGATCCACTGCCTCCGGATGTGGCCGTCGATCGCAAACCCTTTCCAATTGCGCCAAACGCTAGTGATATAGAGCCCAACCCTTCGTACGGCTATCGCGATCCCGACCACAGACCCGATCCGTACGCCAATAGGGATTACGACCGCAAACCTGTGATCCCAAGCGATCGAGACTATGACCGACGCCGAGAGCCGCCGACCGGTCGAGACTACGATCAACGCCGACACGAGCCGTCTGGCGGTCGTGATTACGATCGGCGAAGCGGTCCGCCGAGCGGTGGTCGCGAACATAGGGCCGGACCTAAGAGTAAGACTGATTACGACCGCAGATATGAGTCTCAGCGAAGAGAGTACGACTCGAGACGTCCCGAACCGCCCAGAGATCGTGATTTTGAGCGACGACCTGATCCGCAAAGCGGTCGAGGCTTTGATCAACGACCCGGACCTCCGCCGGAACGATATGTTGAGCCTCAAAGTGGGATCGATTCGGTCCGAAGACCGGAACCGCCTAACGATACAAAAGGCTTTTACAAAGAGGCAATCGATGACACATATAGATCTTCACCGGCGGACGCCTATACACCGCCGCAAACACTTCCGCCGCCACCCGTTGCCGCACGTCCTCCACCGGCACCGACTCCAAGCTATTCCAAACCTCAGTCATCGATGGCCTCCGAACCACAACCACAGAGACCTACTGCTGGCCAGAGTTATAGTCGGCCGACACAAGGCATGTCTGGTATGGGTATGGATGACGACGAAGAACTGACTGAAGAGGAGCGACAACTGATGATTTTCCAAGAAAAACTAAAAGAACTTTTTCTTGGCGTCGATTCCATAGATAAACTCATCACTGTTTGTATTCATTGACACACTATTTATGTCTTTAACTAATTTATTGTTAATTGATTTTGTGGATCAGCTGAAAGAGTCGTACACACAAAAGGCGCAGTCATTGCAACAATTGTTTGATAGATCGGCGCTAAGAGAAGGCGATATATTGAGGAATAAGGCGCGCAAAAGAGATGGCTTTAAGGATCCGATGCTTCTCGAGATGAGGCGACTGCAGGAAGACGTGAAGAAGAGACTCGAAGAGTCGCATAAAATTAATGTCGAAATCGACAAAAGGATTCGCGCCTACAATAAGGCAATGAAAGAATCGATGGCTCAGGAGGAGGGGATCCAACTTCGAGACGGCAATAGCGTCGAGCAGAGCGATAAGCCCAGCAATTATGAGGCACAGCTCTTGATCCAGAACTCATTGATCACCACAACTGTTGAGGAGGAAGAGAGCGATGAGGACGAGTTCGAGTACGAGAACTCGAAGCACGAGTACTTTGATTCGGGCAATCATTGGTGCCGTGATTGCGACAAAATGGTGCCCAAAATTGGCGAGTATTTCGATCACTTGCAGTCGAAACCGCACTGGGATTTGGCCAACAATGAACTCAAGCCCTGGAGGAAGAATAAGAAGCCGACAGTCGCTGACATTATTAACGCCGCTTCGAAAGAACCAAATAGAGTGATGAATAGAGCGATGAATGAGAAGATCAAAACGCCTTTGAGAGGTATTCTCTATTGATTAGATTGTGTTAACGCAACGCTTAATAAATTGTTTCTTGAAAAGGGGCCCAATTTCTCATTCCATTGAAAGGCTTTTATTGTCCGCTCTGTAAAGAGTATTTAGCCGACGACCCGATGGCCGAAGACCACCTCAAGTCAGCCAAACATAACCGCATTTATAATGTAAGTCTAATCGACTTTTTAATAGTTAAGTGATTTGTAATGATATTGTTGTTGACAGCGCTTTATTATGCTTAACGGGGATTACGAGCACAAGTGGAACAGCGATAAGGGAAAGGCTCTCTCCAGACATCAGATCAACGAAAGAAAACGAGTGAAAGACGAGGAAATAAAAGAGTTGGAAAAGAAGAAAATCAAAGAAGAACTGAAACAGAAGGAGGAAAAGGAGGCGAAGAAACGCAGGCGAGAGGAGGAGAGGAAGCAGAAGGAGAAGGACGACAGGGAGAAGGATCGAGAGGAGCGCAACAGGTCTATGACCAACAATTCTTCGGATCGGTTTAGGCTCAAGAGTGTGACATTAGATCTGAAGGGCAGTAAGAGTTCGTCACATAAGGACAGGGATAGGGGTCGAGACCGCGAGAAGAAGAGGGGACGCATCTATTCCTCCTCTTCTGACTCGTCTCCATCGCCGCCGCGAAAGAAGAGGACATACTTTGGCGATCCATATGAGGACCCGAAACTCAAACTCAAATCATTTGTACCTTTGGATCGATTGACTAAAAAACAAGGGAAAAGGTTTTACTGTAAAGAATTGATTGGATTAATAGATGGCGTTTGGAAACCCAAACCCGAACCAGAAGTTAAAGTAGAACCAGAAATGAAAGCCAATTCTCCCCTCAAAATGGACTTTGATTTGCAAAATGACGAGAAAGTGGAGAATAAGGACCTGAAGAACGCCGTCGACGACATTCTCAAGGGTTTGGGCGACGACGACAAGGAAGACGACGACACGAAACCCAAAGAAGTTCTGAAAGATAAAGACTCTCCCGACTCACCGACAGAAGAGAAACAGTCGGATGAAAAGCCAATAGAAATAGCGATTGAAGTGAACGTCAATAATGAGGAACAAAACGGCGATAAAAGCGGTGACATTAGCGCCACAGCCGATGGTTCAGAAAATCAACTCCAGATCGATATGGATGTCAGTATGAAATCAAGTGTTGATAAAGAGGAGACACCCATTACTGAGGAAACAATTATACCAAACGATTGTGAAGACAATAACGAGACGATCGAAAGTCCATAATTAATATTCATTGATCATTAATCTCCACATATTTTATATCATTGTAATTATTACCAAATCTTTCAATTAAAAGTCATTTTATTCGTTACAAAAGGGTTTGGGTTTTAATTAAATTACCGAATATTTATAGAAATCCAAAAGTTAGAAGAAATGCAGACTTTGTTTGTGAATCTGAGGCACAAATCAATTGAGAACTATTCTCATGAATGGGTCTCAAAATTCATCCCCATTTGAGACTCGCGGCCGCATAACTGACGGACGAGTCGGTCATATATAGGCAATGACTCGATTGCGCGTAATTTAAGAACTTTAGTGTCGGCTTCTCCTCACTCTCCGACTCATTCAGATGATGGACGGCCTGTCGGGACAGTCACTCAGTTAGACATCAATTAATTAATAGATTATACATTGCTTTACATTGAGAAGCACTCCAATGGGATGTCGACCACATATAGTGTTTCCGTATTTCTTCAAATACGAGGTAAAGCCCGAAGGGATGAGCTTTTCAATGGTATTCATGCCCTTCAATATAACAATTCAATTAAAAAATGGTTAACAATAAAACGCTTGCATTATAACTAACAGTTTCGTCCAACTTCTGAATGGACTGATAGATATCTCCGGACCCCTTGTCGTAGTACTGATAGCTGAATCTCGCGCCCCAATGGCAAAAGTCCGACGAAATGACGAACACATTGTCCGTATCGGCCAAATACTTGCTGAACAGTTTGCCATAAAGCGCCTCCTTTTCCGCGTTGAGAGAGCCCACCAAAACGGGAACGATTGTAAACGACTGGCCCTCCATTACTTTGGCCACAAACGGCAAATGCATTTCAATGCTGTGCTCCTCTTCGTCGGTCTGGAGTGTCATCTCTTCAAACATCGAAGTGTCGAAGAGTTCGCTGTAAACTGTTTCCAGAAATTAGTATTTTCATACTTTGTGTCTAAATCTCACTTTTCTGATCGATATTCAGATCATACAACGGAGTCTTATAGACCTTCGCTGGCGATAGAGCGCAACCTCCGAGTCGGACGTGATGTGCCGGACCTAAGATGAAGATCCGTTTACTGTCAACAAAAAACAGACAATTAATTGCCATTAATTCAAACAATGGTTTCATAAACCAACGTCTGCTGAGGATTGATCTCTTTATACGCAAACGCAGCGCAAGAACCGCAATACTGATAGCCAGCGTGTCTGCCATTGGATCAAATGCACCATTAATGAGATAATACCATAATATAAATGTGGTTTAAGTAGTGGTAGTAATCTTACGGTGCGATTATAGCTCTGGCCGGACCGTGAGAGGTCGGGCCCGCACACGACAGCCAGTTCTCCAATTGATTCCTCAACTCTTTGGCTAATCATACCATCAAATAAGACACACATTAAACCAAATGCCAAACAAATCCATGGATTCATTACCAGATCCTGAGTACCAATTGCTTGCGTGCGTCGCTTTCCTCACTGAAGACATCGTTCAACGCTTCCCTAATCACCACAAATACACTCAACAGATAGTGGACTAACTCTTTGCGGACACACTTGTGGTCACAAACACAATGTCTTCCGCTATCTATCCGTAAATGTGCTGTGAATTGAGTTTTAGTGATAATTAGAGCCAAGAGTTGACACAAAACTGGGTTTACGTCTAGTTTTTGCTTACATTTGGTTTACATTTGAGACTCAATTAAAACACAACAAAAAAGAGACGAAACGCCCATTAATTGACTCTTTATTATGACATCACAAACGTCTCGACCAATCACTCCATCCCTACAAACCTTATGTTCACTCCATTCACGCATTTATTGTGTCATTCATTCATATATAACGTACACGTGTTTAAAGGAAAGGGTGGCTAAAACTTTGATAAACATTGCGCTAACCCTAACAAAATGCCCGTAAAGGGGGTCTAAATAACATTAATATGATATAACTATATATACGAATCGTTTGTAAGCATTTAAATGATTCACTACTGAATTGGCATTTAAATGAATGGTTTTGTCTGACATTCATATCATTATTATATTTAATTGCAGTTTTATTTTCCAATAAATCATGAAATTGTTTAATGCATTACAAGTCATGAAACCTATTGTTTGTTTAGTTATTCATACTTTAAAAACATTCATTAAATCTTACGTTCAGTTAAACAATGAATAGTATTTTATACACTCTTTTCGCTATTAAAAAATGATAACTAGATTTAGATAAAAGTTTATTTAACTTTGAGTTTATCTCCAAATGAATGACAATTATTTATAATATAATTGATTGTCTATTAAAGTGAATATCGACTCAAAACACACAAACATTAACATTAAAAATACTTTTCAAACACTTATAATTGGATTAACAGATGATTGAGAGCGAGAATAAAGTTATGTTAAGTTATGGGATAACAGTAGCCGACGGGTGTTGTGACCACACGTGAGGATAACCCTATCCCACATATCATATGATTTATGATTAGGAAATACTACTAAATATTGTATAGATTGAGTGGTTATAACGAGGTTTGACTGTATGTTAGGGCCAATGAGTGGGCGGTTCTTACAGAGAGATTGTTGTGTTTTGAAAGTGTTTTGAATTGTCATCTGTTTTGTTGTGACCACTTGTGAGGCCCGTTGGAAGCGATGAGTGACTTATTAGAGTCGAGTTGTGGCCAGTGTTTGGTCCGTTTGGTGAGTCGTGGAAACGCTATAATCGCCGAACTCTTGCGTCTGTCAGAAGTGGTGCCACAAGTGTTCCGATTGGACACAAAGTCGGATCAGACGAAGTACTCGGACGTGATCTCAGACTTCAGTTACTTCAAGATCTGTGACTCTTATGACAACCGAATTGAATCCAATCCTCAACTCCTCGATAGGGACGAAGAGTTTCGCGAAAATTACATCGAAATACTGACCCGTTTTTATCTGGTCTTCGAAAGTGTCCACAGATTTACCGTTGATATCAACCGATTCATCGACGATCTCGAAGAGGGTGTGTATATTCAGCAGACACTGGAAGCGGTGCTTCTGGACAACGACGGCAAACAATTGCTGTCCGAAGCGTTATATCTGTGCGGAGCGATGCTTCTGGTGGTCGACCATCGCATCGACGGACTCGTGAGGGAACGGATTCTGGTCTCGTATTACCGCTACAGCGCTCAGAGGGCGACCTCCGACTCAAACATCGACGACGTCTGCAATCTGTTGCGAAGCACTGGTTATACGCCTTCCGGCAAACGTCCGCTCAATTATCCCGAAGACTACTTCAAACGCGCGCAGATTCGGCCGATTCTGGTCTCACTAGTGATCGGGAGAATGAGATCCGACGACATCTACAACCAAAGCGGTGCTTACCCTCAGCCGCAACACAGGAGTGTAGCGCTCGCCACACAAGCCGTCATGTTATTCACCGCTTTGTACTTCTCCTCCGATATACTGCACAACGAATCGGCGACTATGAGAGAGATTGTGGACAAGTTCTTCGCCGACAATTGGGTGATCAGTGTTTATATGGGAATTGTTGTCAATTTGGTCGAAGAGTGGGAGCCCTACAAAGCGGCCAAATTGGCGCTCAATAACACGATTGATCCCAAAAACATTAAACACCATTCAAACAGACATCACGAGAAGATTGTCAAACTTTTGCCACAATTGCAACAACTGCTCAAAGAGGGGGCACTCACTGAAGACGTAGTGCTCGACAATGTCTCCAAACTGATGAATATTATCCGCGAATGTAATGTCACTCTTCGGTGGTTAACACTCCACACATGTTATCATAACATCAGTGAAGCGAATAGTATTGTTAGCAAAAAATGCAAACAATTAAAAGATTTAGTGATAGCGGAGAGTAAATACGATCCGTTACTTGTGTTTCAATTGCTATTAAATACGGCTGAGTTTGAGCTGAAGATCAAAGAGATGTATAGACAGCTATTGAACGATAAACTCGGAAAATGGCATTTCTGTAAAAAAGAGAGCTTTGAAAGGATTAAAGAGTTGGCAGAAGTCTTCTCCGGCAATAAACCGCTCACTCGAGTCGAGAAGAACGCAAATCTGGAGCAATGGTTGACCGAAATGTCGAAACAAATCGATGGCTTGACATTCGATGAGACGAATGCGACGAATAGAAAGACTATACAATTAATTCAGGCGCTCGAAGAGGTGCAAGAGTTTCATCAATTGGAGAGCAATCTACAGGTGCGACAGTTTCTCAATGATAGCCAAAAATTGCTTCACTGTATGATTAAAACACATAATATCAAAGAAGATGTATTGATTACACTTCAAATAGTGGGCGACCTATCGTACGCCTGGAAGATAATCGACACGTCGTTCACGCGGTATATGCAGTCCGGCATTAAAAGAGATCCGACTCTAGTCATCAAACTTAGGGCCACTTTCCTGAAGTTGGCCTCAGCTCTCGATATGCCTTTGCTTCGCATAAATCAGGCCTCGAGTCCTGACTTAGTCTCTGTGTCTCAATACTATTCGTCCGAATTAGTGTCTTATGTCCGCAAAGTTCTTCACATTATCCCCGAAACGATGTTCAGTCTAATGGCGCGTATAATTGAATTACAAACAAATCGTATCAAAGAATTGCCGACTCGTCTAATGAAAGACCAATTGAAGGCTTACTCGCAATTGGAAGAGAGACACGAAGTGGCAAAACTCACTCATTCAATATCGGTGTTCACTGAAGGCATTCTCGCTATGAAGACAACACTCGTCGGAATCATTCAAATCGATCCAAAAAGACTGCTCGAAGACGGCATTCGACGAGAATTAGTGATACAAACGGCGAACGCTCTCCACAGAGGGCTCGTCTTCAACGCGAAGGCCCGGACGAGTGAACTCGTGCCTAAACTCAAAGCCTTAGCGCAAGTGATGGATGGCTTTCGGCGATCGTTTGAATACATTCAGGACTATGTGTGCATATATGGCCTGAAGATGTGGCAGCAGGAGGTCTCACGCATTGTCAACTATAATGTCGAACAGGAATGCAATGCTTTTATGCGCCATAAAGTGCTCGATTGGCAGAGTGTTTATCAGTCAAAGTCTATACCAATCCCTAAATTCTTGCCATTAGATCCATATTCTGTCAATTTTATCGGTCGACTCGCGCGGGAACTCTTGAGAATGACTGATCCCAAGTACTTGTTATCACTAATTGTATATATGTATGAAACTAATTGGTCTCTTCTTTCGACAATAGGACCACAATATACGTGCACTCAATGAGTACGTGGTTTGACAATAAAACTCACATCGAAGTCGTCGATTCAAAACTGTTCCCTTTAATGATGGTATGATTGGTTGCTTTCGTCAAATTATTGTTAATGTTTTACTATAATGTAAACTATAAATACAGAAAAGCATCGGAACCGCCGGAATCAATGGTTTGGATCGTTTGATATCATTCATGATTGTGACAGAAATCCAAAGTATTCTCCAATACATTGACAGACATTTTACAAAAGACAAAGTGTGGCAACAAATGCTATTAGATATCAATGAAAATTTAGAGGCAATCGATGGGAAAATTACAGGTTTTTTATTATTGTATGTTTTAATCTAATATTAAATGAATGTTTTACTATAAAAGCGACACATTTTACGCGTATCTTCGGGACAGCGCTGACCAAAGCAACGAAACCATTGCCCGTTGTGTTTGACGCGATCGCACGTATCGGACAAATGCAAATAATTCGGTGTAATATCGGACACGAATTGAACACAAGTTGTAAATTTCAATCCAGACATTTGGCTAACGCTCTCCAAACACTTAATCAGTTCGTTAACCAATATATTTGCAAACCATTTGAATTGATTTGAAATGATTTCATTTGTATAGAGCAATACTCTGTGATTTGGAGCATCACTGCAATACATCCGAGAAGTCATTTCTCAAAGAAGACACTCCATTGCTCTTCGAACTGACCAACTATTTGGAGTGGACCGGCATTTCAGACCCCATATCTAAGGTATACAGTATTCTGTATAACACAGTATTCAGTGTACACTATAACAAGACTTATTCTCATTTCAGATATACATCACTTCAAGAGTACCGCCATATCTAGAATTAATATCATTTTTGTTGACAATCACACAAATGGGAAAATTTGTTTACATTAAAGCCATCAATGGATTGACGGCAAAGAAAGGCAGCGATCACTCGGACGGACTGCCATTCGTGTTGGGAATGATTACATTCTTGAGACAATTCCATGAGAAGACAACCCATCAGTTTATAGCCCATTGCTCTCAATATGTTTGCGCACAAACAGAGATACAAACAGCTCTCAGGTATTTCAGCGCAAAATCACTTCAAACACTATTTTACAACTAATTGTGTTTTCAGTTCACCGAAAGTGACAGAAATATCCTCCGAGGCGTACAATACTCTGGAATTTTTGGATCATTTCATTCGTTTCGCTGGTCTTCAACGTAAACTCGTTGTCCAGAATATACCGGACTTTGTCTTCGATCAGTTCCACTCCATTCCCAATCCAATCAAATGAATTGATTATAATTTGTTACTTGTTTTTAGAGTATTTAATGTTTTTAAAAACAAATGCTATTTTTGTTATACAATAAAATAATATAAAATTATTTATAACAATAACTTATAAAATGAAAGACATGTGTCGACAGACAATTGTCGTCCTCGTCTTCACTACCACTCAGAACTGGTATTCTTGAAGACAACTCCTCTTTGAGCCAACGTTTTCATAATGTGAACGATATTATGGCAGTCGTCGATACCGGAGTGAAGTCTGCCTTTGGGTTTGATTTTAAGCTCTTCTAACATAAAACTCATACTTTTGGGCCAAACGCCGGACCACTCGGCGTACGACTTCTTCACGTTAACCCAAGTCCTCAAATACAACGGAATCCTCAGATTCAAGAGTTGACACTGATTGGGAAGCATTAGCTGAAGATCCCATTCACCGCACGTGACAAACGTGAACTTCTTCAGACACCGCTGATAATCGCCGCAAATGAGTCCAACGGAATGCAGCCATTGGTTGAAGTCATTCAACACGACATCGAAGCGCTTCTCATCGGCGACCATATCGTCGATAATTCCGGTCAATTGACAGCAAAATGGGGTTAACTTCGGGTGATGTATGGGTCGGACGTATCGGTGAAACACTTCTTCGGACTCAAAGGTCTTTGCGTTCACTTTGACGACTGGAAACTCAATGATTTCCATCGGATCCAATTGTTTCGGTTTATCACACGTGGCCTCGAAGTCCAACACCAGAAAGTAGTCATACAATTGCTGTTTGGGTCCGCTTTCGGCCATCTGTTTGCTCTTCACTGACGATAACCAACTCGTGTGACGACAAGTTGTCCTCAATTGAGACCCAATCGAGTCATTGATCCGAAAGTAATTCAATAGTCTTTTCATGAATTTGTGGCCAATTTTTTGTCACTATTTTTGAGACCAAAACTTTATTTTCAAATTTACGACAAAATATTTTGTATTGAATCACATGTTTTGCAATCCATTCATATATTCTGTTACAACAGAATCGTAATCATTGAATATTTTGTCCCCAATTTGTTATCAATATCTTTATCTTAAATTATAATTCACATTCTTGTGGTAAATCCGGTTATTAATTATAACAATTATTATCCGCGTTATAGACTAAAGGCTTATCCCGTTATTTGCCGTCAATTGGTCCACAAAACTGTAATCTATTTATATTTAATGTGTATTTAAATGAGAAAATAAAGTCGATATTCTGTTTAATGAATGAAGTTTTAATGAGACAACAGATTAATGTACAAAATTGTTTTTAATCTCATTTACAATTATATTAAATCTCTATTTTGTGCTCATTTTAAGGCACTTTCAACACAAATTCATAAATCCTTTCATTTATATATTTGCTTATAAATTATATTTAATGAAAAACATATTAATAATAACTTAATAACAATACTTTTATAATAAATACCAATTTAAATAAAATCGTTAAGATTTTGTTATCAAAATAAAATGACTAAAAAATACTAATTCAATGAAATGAATGTATTGCTCGACTGAAGGGTATTAATACTATCATTGTTATCAAGTTCTGAATTCCCACATCTGGGTCTTTGATGTGGAATCGCAGTGATCGGCAGTTATTCCCATTTCGGACACAAACTTCGAGTCCAGACATAAATTATGCGTCAAATGCTGGATGTGTTGACCAAAAACACGGCTCCATTTCTGTGAATAAACATTCAAAGAGTCATAAAAAATGTTACAATATATGCATAATTACCTGATTGTCGGCTCCATTGCAGTAAAATAGCAAAACAGAAGCGTTAGCCGACGGACTCATTATAGTAATGCACAGATTTTGGTGAATAATAGCGCCCTCTTTGTTAATAGACCACTCTTGGTTGGCCCCCTGTCCGTGACATCCGTACAGTCCTATACTTTGGCGAGCGTTGTGTCCCAAAGTGTCCAAACATTGGTCCGACTGAACCAATTGGCCCTTAGGGTTGGGTTCTCCGGGAACCACGAGTTCCGGATAAACGTTATCTAAAAACCATTTAAATGGTTTGCAGTGAAGATCTTCTTTCAGTTTCAAGCGCTCGGAAATGTCGCCGAAATCAATGAACTTCGCGGCCGGATATGAATCGTAGTAAAACTTCTTGTAGTCATCCATCCAGACCTCCGCCGCTCTCCTATTCATATGAACAGAGGTTTTAATCAATTGAAATCAATATTTACAAATAGGTCGTAACAAACCGTGTATTTCTTGCAAAAACAGTTCCACTGCCGCCGGGAAACACATACGGGTGCCTAAAGAATATCAATTATATGCTAAAGTACTGCTTCAGTCATCAATTATATTCATAATTACTGTTTTCTGAACACATGGCCGACACGACTACACGGAATGATTTCCAGTTCTCCACCGCAGAGCCAAATACGGAAAGAAATTTCTAAATTTTCGCCACCCTTTTGGACACAAATATATTAATAATAAGTTTATAATTTCAAAAGCAAAACACGAACCCATATATCCATTTTGGTGTCGTATTTGCCTAAAGTATCAAATGTTGTCTTATTGACAGAGAAGAGTCCGCCCGCAATCATCGGTGTCCTAAACAACAAGTCAGTCATAGAATATGCAAATTATGTAATAATTATGTGAACAATGACTCACTTAATGGGCGAAATAGGATCTGAACGTTGTTTTCTCACTTCGGTTGGAAGATATTCCCACTTAAATACTAAATTCCAGTCAAAACCGCCCCTCAAGTCTGCAGAGGCGGCGATGTATCTAAAGTTATCCATATTTAAGACATCAATCACTGGAGAAACGACTAGATATGGGTTCTAAACAAAGAATTCAATGGTTCAGTAATTGTGTTAAATGTGATCGAGTGCTCAGGCATTTCATACGTGGCCAACCCGTGCGAGCAATGGTTCCAACCAACCGGTGTTACACTCGCAGTGACTGTCGAGGAATGTTAGTATCGGTCCGACGGCTGCGTCAGCGCCGGTAACCCGCGATCTCATCAAACCCTCCCTCTTATTGTTGCGAATGGTGCGAACCTTTTGTATTTTGGAGAGTTCTTCGCCATCGGAAGCGTTATCACTGAAATCGTCGACTAAAATGATTTCTTTGATGAGATGTTCTGGACTTCTGTTGAGAACGGAGACAATAGTGCGAAGAAGTGTGGATCGCGCCTCGTTGTGAAAAGTGATGATAACACTGGTCGGGAACAGTTGGTCGTACTCTTTGGACATACAGCTATAGGCGCGCGTATCGGGAATGATCCGATTGCTGGCCAATCGATCGCTGGCCAACTGATTGAACTTATTCTTGGCGTAAACATCGCCTAACGGGGAAACCGTTGCTTTCGATATATACTCTTTTTCGTTGAAATATTTCCACGAAATCTTATTCTCGTCGCTCTTCTGGAGGAATGAGTTCAGAGTCGACGAAAGGGTCGGCGAAATAATGTAATCGTCTTTAAGCCTCAAAGCTTTGTTTTCCTGAAAAAACAAAATTCAAATTTTAATTATCGCTTAATTCTGACGAACGCTTAGAAATATGTAAATCGCTTCACAAAAAGTCTGTTAACTGGTAAATCCCTAAACTGTGGTTCAGTCACACAAAAATAGAAATTCAGAGTCTGATTAATTTAAATATGACTGGATAGGTAAGATGAGCAAGGTGTCCATGTTAGTAGCAATTTATTGCTCATAATGGTTCTGAAGTGGGTGCAAATAGGGTATGTGTTCAGATTTACTTCAATTATTTAACAAATCAACATGTTATGTTATGTGACATAAAACTATGCCAAATAAGGAGTTGATTGATTTTTCACATATGGCTGTTCAAACTCGGGTTCGGCCGCAGTGACCACTTGTATTAGCAAATTTAACTTATCCAATACTAACATGTGATATATAAAATTAATATAAAATTTAACGTAGAGTTATAATATAGTAATATCACAACGATGAGATGCATAGATTTAATGTAATTTCAATTTAATCTTGGTCAATGTTAGAGATGGTGTGGAATGAAGTCAGGGTTCGCTGTTGTAATCGGGGTTTGGTGGTGATGATAGTGTGGAGTGCAAAATTTGCGGAATAATAGCTTATTTGGCTAATTTTATTAAAGATTTAACTGTATCGAACAATTAACACAAAATCTATGTACCACATCGAGATGATATTACGATAGTCTAATTCTACGTCAAATTCTACATTGATTTAATACATAACATGTTAGCATTGGATACGTTAAATTTCCTGATAAAAGTAGTCACCCGAAGTCGGACAACCATATGTGAACAATTAATCGACTCCTTATTTGACATAGTTTCATAACACATAACATAACATGTTGATTTGTTAATAATTTAAGTGCATCTGAACACACACCCCACACACGCCCTCACACACCACTTCGGACCCACTTCAGAATTTTATTTGCAAATTAACCACCTTGCTCATCT